GCGTGCATGCGTGTGTATATATTTATACGATTACATGCAGAATAGCCTTTTAAATCGCACATTGTCACATTCTAGCCACAGTAACAGAAAATCTGATCGACAGCGAGTCCGCCACATGAATAGAAGACCTGAAGAATTCGTTTTGAAATGTAGTCCAACCTCTGATACTGTAGGGAACAGGATAAATGGATGATAAAAGAATAGCTCGCCAAAAAGTACAGATACATTTTTTATGTAGTTTTATATACACTGTTATGTTGGCCTTCTATAAGTCCGTACAAGGTCCTTACTAAAGTTACCGAATCGTGACCCATTCTTAGATTCCTGTATCATCGCCATATGCGCACAGTCAACGGAGTGCCGTTTCGCCAATCAGAAGAATTTCCTCCGGCCACCGCGTTGACTAGTCAGTTGCCAAAAGTGTGGTACAGTTGTTTGAGTTTAGTATATTTCTTCTTGTTGGTTTCATTTTATATTCGTTCTCCTTTGATCAAGAATGACAAGAGCGCTATAGAACGGCGATGTTACTTAAATGTGAGCAGGTGCCCTTCTTGTTAATCAGATGCCGTCATTGACTTTTAAGGAGGAGGCTCTCATTTGCCGGCAGATTGAGCAGTGGCAGCCATTTACTAACCACTTGATGGTTTTGACCACCAGTTAGGATTTTACAGTAATCCAGTAGTGCTTCTTTACCGACCATTTTGCGGTTCACGACAAGCCTTCACCGATACCGTTACGGCTAAAGGGGAATGAGCCTCACAGTACATCACCCTGCCGAAACGTTTCTTACTTTGATTATTGTCCAATATCTGTGACAAGGACGAGATGATTCGTTTCAAGGAGCAACTTCTTGTACTGGCAGTAAAAACCTCTTTGTTATCAGGCACAGAAAAGCCATTATTTCACAAATAATATGCCTTAAATGACACTAAGCAAAATTCAAAGAGCAGAAACTAGCTACGTTATGACCCTTTTTGTCCCTGATGTCAATTTTTCTATCGAATTGTTCCTATGTCCATTCACAGATTCTGGACCTAATCGATGGTTTAATATGTACGGTTGGTAATGAGGTTCGGTGAAGGAATTAAATCATTCTGTTAATTATCACCGATCGCGTCTCGTCGACGTCAGGATCGTTATGCAAACTCCTTGTCGTCCGCAAAGATTGGTGTCGTTAAATTTTCCATAGTCCATGGTCCGACTCGAGCAAACTTTCTGGTGCTTGCATCAACAGTGACTGAAGAATGATGCACGCCTATTTGTCTGTCATATCTGAGGAATGAGGTAAATGACATGCGCGAAACACTGCAGCCATTCTTTAAGAATATGAGGCATTGGAAGCTTTATGAACATTACGTGCCAGTTGATGATTTATTACTTTCGATCCAGTATGACTGCAGTACTTCTCTGTAACGACGGTTGCGACTGAACGACATATTATTTACGCAGTTTAAATGAGCGCCTAATAAAACTTATTGAAGCCGTTAACCTCACGACCTATAGAAATATAGCTGACTGCGTAATTGGACATAGATTCATGCCAGTCGGCATGCTTACATGTAAAATAAACTCAACAATTTATTGAAGACAACGACCGATTTTTTGAGAAGGCCTTCAGCAACGGCTGAGAGTAATTTGCTAGTAAACGGTGGAGCGGTGGGTGAGGGAGGTACTTTCTATTATGTGTGTCTACAGAATGAGGTATATTCGTTGGTGTTCGAAATTGTGATTGTTCGACCTAGCAAACTGTTGTGTTTTCCGCCGGTGCATTGCACTAAAATACCATGGAGCCGTGGTCTGTATCTAAATGTCCTCCTATGCTAGTAGAAGCCAAGAAAACAGTGTGTCGTACAAATCTGGAGAAGCAACTAGAAGCAGCCAGAGCGTGTAATACTTACAAGTCAAGTGGCTTTGTCGAATCTCACCCCGTTGTATTTTGATTCATGTCTGTTTATAATTTTTCTGTGTTTTTGTAAAGAACAGAAAGTGAAAACAAACATTTCACACATTACATTTTAATGATTAGTTCTTAGTTGTCTGTTTTTTATGCATATTTGGACATGTGAAATTTTTTAGAATATTATGAGCTATAACGGCGGTACGTTGCTGGCGATGCGTGGAGACCATTGCGTCGCCATAGGATCAGACTTACGGCTCGGAAGTCGATTTTTAACAGTTATGACAGACAAAGAAAAAGTGTACAAAATCGGTGATCGTCTCTATCTAGGTATCGCTGGCTTGGATACCGATGCTCAGACCATGTGAGTACGAGTTACTGTAATCGTACCGTCGTGTCACACTGCACAACTGTTTCATAATGTGGGTTTTTGTAACCGTTGCTTCGTTCGTCGCTTCGGATGTTTAACGGTGATATTGGATACGATATGTCATACCGATTCCTGATTACCGATGCGCTTAGTTATGCGGTGAAGTTTCCACCAGGATTTCTGATTTCTTCAGTATCTCCTGATTTCTGAATCTAGTCACTAAATTTGTTGTTTTTATTTTATGGGCCGCATTTCCAAGGTGAACTATATTTAATTCCCTCTTATTGTCTTCAGTGAAAACTAAAGCGAAAAGTTACTGAGTTTGTTCAATACTAAATAGGACGTTATAATAATAATAATGTATGTTAGATTAAAGTTGATTATTCATGTATAATATTTAATTTTCTTTGTGAATTTATATGCTCTTGCCAATTCTACGCAGGCGCATCCCTTCTTCGCTTCTAATAGCCTAGGGAACCGTTTAATCACGCCACGATTCCGTCATTATGCTCTCTGCAGTGCATAGGCGCAAAATAGTGTCGCTGTGCCGGTTCGAACAAAAATCTGCTCGGACACTTACTAAAATGTCATCATCCATTGAACGTACGCCGTATAAATTCTGAGATCGTTATTCTTATCGACGGTATCAAAAACTAGCAGTTCGTTAGTAAACCCATTACACCGGAGTTTCTTTTTAAGTTTTCACTGTCATTTTAGTGTAATTATAGTTCTCTGTTAATGTTATCTTTTTTGTTTTTGTTTCAATCACACTATGAAAATTTACATGAATTGAACGAGCATCACTTGAGCACGAACCCTATACGGAGGGGTATGAAGCTGCATTACTCTTCTTAGAATCTTGGTTGTTCCTAGCAAAGTCGCCTTCTGCAGTTTATTCACTATTCTTATGCACTGAATGAAAACGAATAAAAGGCATATACTCTCACTCCTTCCAATGCTCATAAATGTTTCTTACGTA